GCCCGCTGGCCGCCCGCAGCATCGCAGCCGACACGGCCCTGGCCGCAGCATCCTGCCTCTTCCCTGCCCTCCCCGCTCTCACCCCGGGAAACACACCGGGTGGGCAGCCCCGAAGGTTCACCGGCACAAAACGCCTCGGCTGAGGATCAGGCCTGGGTATCACGGCGCTCTGGGATGAGGATGACGACCCCGGAGCCCTGCGGGCACAGCCCGTGCAGGGATGCAGGTGGGACCATGCAGTCCACATCAAAAAAAGTCATCCCACATCCCGATCTTCTCTTCCTATTTCCACCTTGCCTAGCTTCCACCCTCTGCAAATATTAATCCCGAAGGTAATTAATAACCCTCGGCAGGAACAGAAGTCATCTTAGGTAAGATACCTGTGCGGTCACCCTGGGATATTAATGTGGTGAAGGCACCTCTTAACGAGCGGCTACTTCACAGCAGCCGAGCGGGCTTTAATCAGAAACCTGCACTTTCATTACAATCTCTGCATGAACGAAGAAAGCGCATAGGTATTCAGTTAGATCTCAGCACCCAGCGCTGGGAGGGGAGAGGGACATGGAAAAGCGAGTCAAGGGTAAAAAGCAAAACGCGAACCACCACTATCTGTTTCGTATAGGCACCTCATTTCCTGAGCAGCGAAAGCCAGTAACACACAGTAGCTGCAATACCCAGCTACACACCTTCCAGAGAGCAGGTAAACCCCAACTTGCCACCAGCACACTCATCAGACTATGGCTTCCGCCTGCTTTCAGCAGCTTCAGAGCTCCACTAGAGCAGGACATGTGTAACCAGGGAGCACCTGTCCCAAGGACTGAGCAGTGTTTCTCCAGATCCCGGAGGCATAGCAGTAACTTTCCTGTGGCAGAAGAGCCACATCCACAGCCTTCCTGTCACTGCAGATCCCGGTGAAGTTTTACACCACATCGAGTGTTTTACCAACAATGGCATTCACTATAGCAAAGCAATCAGTGCTCATGTGCTCTTCAGTGGGAGAAGCAGCCAACAGAACAGCTGGCTCCTTCAGCTGCTCCAGCTACCCACACCAGTGTGCTGCCACCCCCAAAGCATCCTAACTTTCAGGAAGGTTCATGACAGATTGGAGGTGGCATCCCAAGAAAGCTGGTTAGCACAAGCCAGGACCAGGAGGAATAGTGTCCAGGTCAGACAAGTACTGGGAAAAAGCTGCTGCGGGCATGTCATGTCAGAAAAGCAGTAGCAAGCGTAAGACAAGAGTTGAGCAGAGTTCCCTGAACCCACAGATTTCCCTCATAACCCTGCTGACAGGACATGTGCAGGTCATGGTGTTCATCCACACACGCAAAAACGAGCCATTGCTTCAAGCCTGTCCCACCTCTTTCACCCCACACCACAGGCAGAACAAGGTGTCAGTGGAGGCGCGTTAAGGGATCTCAAACCCGAAAGTCGACCATGCAAGTCCCAGAGAACAACCCTCATCACCTCCAGGTCACGTGAAAGACATGCAGGTTGGTATGAATGACGCTGGATACCGGGATACATGAATTCACTTCAGTAAGGGAAGTTCAAGGCACTGAATTAAAATAACAAAAGTTTAGGAAACAAGGTTAGGGACACTGCAGTCAAACTGCCAAGCAACAGACTTTTTGTAGATTCAGACCCAGTTCTGATCTTTCAAGGACACCAGGCTCATCAATGACATTATTGCCATAGCTCATCACCACCCCAATACATTTAAAGCTTAGGCTGGAACAAGAGGAAGCAAGCACTGTGCTACCAGCTTACTGCTTCTCCTCCAGCAACCCTCCAGGCTCCTCCCCAGACTCATCTCTTCTGACCTACACTGCCAAGGACAGGAAAGGTGCTGCAGTCACCAAAAAACCCAGACAAAAACAAACCCCAAACACATTGACTCACCTGACAGGCCCACCATAAAAACATTCCATCACATTAACCTCAATAGTCAAAAGAGATGATCTGGAGGCAATTATTAACTCAAACGGCAGCTTTTCCCCCAAGACTGAACGTCCCAGGAGTTGGCTCAACATAAACTTTTGTTGTTGCGGCTTGGTGTGGATTAGGGAACCTGAACACAGGCACAGGAGCCTGCTATCAGACCTAGGAAGAGAGGTTCTGCACACAGAGAACACGCTGCTGTGGTAAGCAACCGTCGTAGCTGGTGCTAGAAAATAAAGCTGCACCAGCCAGCAGTGGAGGATGATAGCTGCTCTCCTACCATTCCCACCACAGCCACCAAGCCCATCCTGATGCTCCTTCTCTGCATCGAGCACATGCCCTACTCCATAAACCCTCCTCAACAGCCAGTGCGAAGAGGCAGCGATGCTTTCCACATTCCCTCCTGCCCCAAGATCAGGGCATTCCTCCACTCATGGAGCTCCATGCTATTCCTCAAGGCACAGACATGAAGGACAGGCCAAGATGTGCCAGGCTTCTTGAAACCATTTAAGCTTTTCTTGGATCCGCTTCAGCGCATTCAACAAAGTACGCAATTAACTGGACAAGTGGGTTTTAGCGGCTTCACCAGTAACAAGAGCTGCTCAGCTCCTGGAGAGCACTACTACTTGTCTGCAGTTACACCTACAAACACAGCAAGACAGACAGGACTTTCTGCAGCAAGACAAACATGATTCCACTCCATTACCACCCTTTTATTGTTAAAAGGACAGATCTTGACAGTGGGGAAAAAGGAAGTTTCACAAGGAGAACGGGATGTAGCTTCTACTGGTCCTTCAATTCCTTCAGTCTTCTGATGGCAGATTTGACTGTCACTGCAGAGGTGGTACTGGAAGAAGAAGCAGAGTCATTTGCACGTGGCAGAACAACCACCCATACCAAAGCACTGGTTATCGCCCGATCGCATTGTCAACAGGCAGCTAATTCCACTGATTTTCATGACAACAAAACGTAGGCCTTTGTCTACAGAAGCACAGGCAACTTCACAGCTACATCAACCCAAATGATCCAGTCATGCATTAACTACGTGCATAAGCGTGCAGACGCAAATTCCAAGTGACTTATGCGTGGGGCAACAGTGTCTTCTACAAGAACTGAGAGCAGGGAGACTAAAGAAAGGGTACCATCGCAATAGGGATTACGATTTAGTACTTCTAAAACAACAAAAAAACATGGAAATAATTTTCCTTGGAGTAAACCTGGTTTAAGCTATTGTACCTGTCTCTGAACTGAAAAGGCCGAGGTAGTAACCACAAAAAAATGCTGCTTTGGCTTTGAAAGAAGAGGTAAGAGATCCCCTTACCCAATTAAGATTTTTATAGTCAGAAGAATCAAGGAAGGAGAAATAATGCCTGGGTCAGAGGCATAATTAATGAGAAGCTGTTGGGGCCCTTTACATCACAGGTTGAAGGAACAACAATCAGGTGTCACCCATACAGCTGACTCCACCCTGAGATGGCTGGGTGAACCAGCCACCCTCTCTGCTCCTTTTCTTCCAACCTCGCCAACAAACTGGCCCAAGCGTAACACCTCCTACAACAACTGCAGTTTACAGCTCTAGTAAGAAATGCCACTACAGCCAAGCCAGAAACTACTTAAGTATTTGTTTCACATTTCCAAATGTTTCACATTTCTTTATTTGAAGTTTGGGAAAAGATGCAGAGCTTGCATTTTTGATGAATAAAACAACTGCTCTGATAAAGACCAATAAGAGAAAGAAATTCTGGAGGACCCACCAAAACCAGCAGCAGTAATATGATGGATAAAATGCAATATTCTCAGAAGATGCACAACAGATACTGGGAAGAACAGCCATCAAATCCAAGTTGATCCATTCCAATCAAATTTTAACAATGCATGCAAAAAAACCACCCCCACATATCACTAGCTTGATTACATAATGGTTAGTAGAGTTAAAATAAATAAATTCAAAAAAAGCTGTATTATGCCTCAGTTACGTAAGAATAAATGCTGATAGAAGCTTCTTTATTTCCTTACTTGTAAGTCCAGGCACCACCAGCAACTGTCTTCATGCAGGATCCACAGTGCCAGATACCCACAGCCTTCCTCTTCATTTTGGTCTGTAATAGAAGGGAAAACGCGCACCCTCCATCAGCTGAAAAAGCCAACAGAACCTGTAGTACCACCCAAACAGCTTCAGGTGGGGACACCAGCATCACACCACAGAACTACGTACAAGCCTGGTTAAGACAGGAAGGATCAGTGAGTGCTTTTATTCAGATTCTTCACAAGAGCTAAAGTCTTTCCAGAGTAATTCTTCATTCAGCTATAAAGTGGGTCATTTCTAAGAGCATCATCAAAAATTCAGCTCTTCGTGAAGGACAAAAATAGTAAAGAGTTACATTGGTCTAATAACTGATATTTTCCCTTGGTTTGATGACCAAGGTAACACCACTGCTCTCAGTGCTCCCTGGACACCCCAAGATTGCTCTAAACAGGACCCCTTTGAACAGCACCTGAGGAGTGAGTGGGGGGAACTGAACTTTCACCAGGGCAAGTCTCCATCACCCTGCAAAGATGACAACAGGTTTGCCTAGACCTATATTGGATTTAGGTGGCCCTGCAAATGGGTTACTAACATTCTCACTTCACATGACAAAGACACTAAATATACAGATATTTAAAAAAAAAAAAAAATTAAAATATATTAAAGTTTCCAACCTCTTAAAGATACCTAACTTTACAGATACAATAAAAATTATCTGGGCAAAGCACAAGCTGATAGGCCTCTCCAACTGTCAAAAAACAGATTTAAGTGTGAATTTTGATTACGTGATTACGTACATGAGCAGATACGACTACTTCTCATCAGTAATTCTTCCCCATCCAGAGTTACGCAGCACACAAATGTAAGCAACTGCAATCAAAATTTTTAAGTGGGAAAAAGCAAGCTCTCTTTGTCCCCCAGGTAAGCTATGAAGTTAGTGAAAAGGAAAAAAAAAAAGCCCAAGACATGCCTTCATTAGGAGGATAACAAGTGTGTTGGTTTAATTTAGGTCAGTTTATTAGATACCTAAGATGTATAGCATGGCAACATGTCTCACTATTTTGTGTAATGCAATATAACGTGGTACTTAAATGAAAAGAAAGATACTAAACATTCATACGAAATGTCTATTAACATTTTATAAGGGACTTTGACAGTAGCCTAAAGCTCACAATAAACCAATCACCACTGCAGAACTATCCGAGTTACTCCTTCAGCAGAATAATTATGGAAACATCAAACTGCCTTTCTAGCATCAAGAACAGAGTAACCGTTAAAGGTTTTTTTAAGGGAAAGTCTCTCACCTTGCCGCAGAAGGAGCAGGTATACTTGGCATGCTGGCTAATTTCAATCTTCTTCACCATTTTCCTAAGGGATGCACCGTAACGGGTACCATATTTACCCACAATCCCAACCTTCTTGGTGCGCTTAGCCTGTTGGGAGGCAAAGCAGAACAAGGTTCAGCTTCACCGAGATCGCCATCTCCTCCGCAGCTCCTCTCCCGACACAAGACAGCGAAGCGCTCTGCACTAAACCAGCGACCAACACCTCTCCCTAACGCTGTGAAGAGTCTGAGTTATGAACAGGCGAGAGGTTCAGCCCGCCGCAAGCTC